GTACTAAGCAGACCAACAAGTGCTTGTACACGGAGGCCAAGTTATCAAGAGAAATCTGGGAAAGAAGGGCCCTCAAGCTTGTAAACATGGGTTCTGCCAGAAGGTGGTGCTGAGGATTTCTGTTCACGGTGGTCATGAAATGTTGACGGAGGCTGGGAGGAAAGGGAAACAAGAGGCTGACCAGGGTTTACAACCTGAGAATTCAAAGGCTATTTGAGCGTGACTCTGGTGGTGCTGCAGGAAAACTTGAAGGTAGCAGGTTTTGTGAAGGATAGGCCTAGGCAGACCAGCTGACGGAATTGCAGCATCACGGATTGACAAGTTAGGTAAATAGGGCATGGCAGAGGAAACAGCAACAGGATGATGGCTGACCTCTGGTGGACAAGAAGATGACTGACATGGTGGTTTAACCCTTGGAGAGGAAGAGCCTTGCTGGTTTGCTGGAGAAGTTACTAGTGCGTTATACACAGATTGTCTGCCACATGTAGATGACCCAGACCTGGATGAATGAGAAGTAGATGATCTATTCATGCAACGTTGAATACCTCTCATTGTCACTAAAATCTCCTTCATGATTTCAACCTGATCAGTAGGCACAGACTCATCAAAATCAGTTAAAGCCTCAATGTCAGGCTCCTGTCTCCGTTGATCATCTTGGTCATCCTGCAACCCATGTGTCTGTTGTATGCAACATGTATTCTGTCTGACATGCAGCACCTTTCACTCTTGGATATTGCACTTCATAATCTTGTAGATGGGTAGGTGGTCGGCTTTCAGAACCTGAATGTCGAAGAGTCCCATCTAATGGCTGTGAATCCATGACAGTCTAGCCTCCGGCTCAAAGGACCATGTAAAGTAGGAAGGGTTCAAAAGGGTACATTTGCTATAGTCACTGGGCGCATCGGTCAGAATGTGTAGAAGGAAGCCAGGAAAATATGAATATCCTCTGAAAAACGTTTTAATTCTTCCAATTCAGATGAGGCATTTGTCAACATAATGAGGGAAAAGAAAGACAGGAGTTGTTCGATCTGAAAGAAAGCAAACATAAGATTAGAAACTAAACTCACATGTCCATTTCAAGAAATAAGACATCTAAACTAAGTTTTCATAAACATAGGACAAAACTAAAGAGTAAATTAAACTTCTCTTACCAGAACTGCCGCCCCATGTGGAAGTGAAAGAGTGAGTGAAAGGGAGTGCAGTCCTTAAATAGTGTGAACTAACAGGTGAACTCAATCAACTCAATTAGGAGGAATGAAAGGTGGAAGTGGGAGCCAATCAGTGATAAGAACAGGAACTAAAGGAAGTGAGGTAAAGGAAGTGAACAAAATAAAGATAAATTGAGGATCTTCACTACAACTATAGTACAGTCAATAAAGTGGAAATATGTTATTCTTATATTTTTTCTTAGTCGCTTTGGTACATTTCTAGAATCATCCTTAACATTTGCAAAACAATTTGTATTGGTAAATTATGGCTAAAGTTTGGATGACAATGAATGAAAATGCACAAGGCTGCACTTTTTCTGTCTGGCATAGATCAATTTCAACAATACAGAGTTACAGTAAACATTGCAAGAGATTGGACAGGATTCACAGTTACACTTTTACTGTATACACTGTAATCTGTTGATAGAGCATGTCATAGTGATGCAAAAAATAAAAAACAAGACTATTTTACAGCACTGCATTGCATAATGGAAAGAGTTACAAAATAAGAAAGGGAAACATGGAAACACCCCCTCAGGTTGACATTCCTGTCTATTGGGCCACAGATTCTTATTCACAGCACAATAGATCTTCATCAATTTACTGTAGGACATAGGACAATTGTACATAATAATTTGCAATTTGAAAAGACTGAGAAATTGCTTTTACATATGATGTGCACAAGAGACTAGATGATGTGAAGGCTGAACAAGTAGAATTTCAATTCTGATCTGAGAAATGTACCAAAGTGACTGAGAACAGCTGTATGCTAAAATGAAATACTGATTTATATGAAAAAATCAGTCACATTTAGAATATAAAAGTTCATAAAATATCCTAATGCTTCCTGTTGTTAGTGTTTTGTAGGTCAGTGTGTTATGAGTGAGATTGTATGCTTTCTGAGTGAGAACTGTCACCAGTGTTTGGTTGAACGAGTTTATTTTGAGACTTGTATGAAGTGTTTTGGTGGTTTGAGTGACTTTTGGAGGTGAGATTACAGTTTTTTTACAGTCGCTAGGACACATTTCCCAATACTTAGGTCACTTTTTCAAAACTCTTCACACAGTTCTCCAAACCAACTTTCAGCTCGGCACAGCAGTTCATTTCACTTTCAAAATGCACTAAAACTACCAAATAACTTCATACATGTCTCAAATCAACTCATTCTTCCAGAACACTAGCAAAGGTTGACAGACAACAAACACACTTTGTCACCCACAAAACAATGACCTAAAAAACACTAACAACAGGTAGCATTATACAATGTTTTCTTGTGTAAAACAAGGACACATCTCTGTTTATAATTCACTGTAATATAGGTTACTGGAATGAATCAGACATGATGCAGAATGCTTCAATATATTTTATGTCTTTTATAAATTTTTATTTTTTACACTGAGTAATTCCAAAATACAAGAATTTGTATATACACCATCCACTGATGCAGATACAATAGTAATGCTAATTTAGTCGGTCTTCTCCATTTGGCCACAGGTTCTCATCCACATCACATCTTATGTCATCTAGGGCAATACACCTAGGAAAGAATCTTCTGGCATGCCTGATCCATCCCTGGCAATCTTATAATAATATAATAATAATAATCCTTATTTGTAGAGCACTTTTCAAAAACAAGTTACAAAGTGCTTTAACAAGTGTAAAGAATAATACAAAAAAAAAAGATAAGAGCATGAAAATTTAATATAAAATTAGTAAAATACAATAAAATAAAAGGGATAAAATAAAGTCAAATAAGATCGGGAAAAGCTCTCCTATAAAAGTATGTGTTTATGTTCTTCTGCTGATATGTCCAGGCATCCAGCATTCATTGCGTCTAGGAGGGACATTTGATCATGTGGATGGTGGTCATAAACTTTCCACCTCCATTAGGAAAGGAATTCCTCTATGGGGTTGAGGAATGGAGAGAAAGGTGGGAGGAAAAGTGACACCATTCTGGGATGGGCTGCAAACCACTCGGTGACTGCACGGGAGTGGTGAAATGCCACATTGTCTCTTACAATTATAAATGTTGGCTGATTTCTTCTCTCTCCATCCCTTTCCTCACCTAGCACAACCCTTCCATAGAGATCATGCTTGAACGCAAGGAGACGTTCAGTGTTGTTTGGCCCAATTAGTGGTTTGTGTAACAGCAGTCCATCAGTGGATATTGCTGCGCACATTGTGATGTTGGCACCCCTCTCGTCCGGGACATCCACTGTGGCTCTCTTCCCAATCACATTCCTTCCTCGTCGCCGTGTTCTGGCCAAGTTGAAACCCGCCTCATCCACAAAGATGAAAATGTGGGGTGTTTGCCTGCCTTCAATCTCCATGACTCTCTAAAATAAATCCACAAGGCAACATAAGCTGTTACAGTAGTAAACATTACCTAAGAAGTTGGTTTTGTTCAAAAACAGTTCTGTATTTTATTGTGATCTTACCTGGACATATTGGTTCCTGAGTTGCTTGACATGTTCAGAGTTCCTCTCAAAAGGCACAGTGTACAACTGTTTCATCCTTACCTGATGTTTTTTCAGGACACTAGAAATAGTTGTTATGCTTACACTGTGAATATTTGCTAAAGTAATGTTGTCTGCCAAGACTCTTTCTTGAATCTCAGTGAGTTTTATGCCATTGTTTCTGATGACCATATCAACAATGGCAGTTTCCTGCACATCAGTGAACATCCTTCCTCTCCCACCTGTGTGAGGTAACCGTTGAGTCCTAGGCAGAAATGCAAAAGCAATTACACACAAGTCTATTTACTTCTGTAATGTGCAACTCAGTCAAATGCCCTTGCGGAATATAAGTAACCTGTTGGTTTGCCGGAAAACTCTAACAATAGATGCCACTGTTGAGCATTGCAGATTTGGCTGCACTCTCTGACCAGCCTCTCTCATTGAGAGACCATGATTTACTACACGATCAGTTACAGTAGCTTTGATCTCATCTGAGACTACAGCTCTTGATCTTCCTCTTATTCTTCTTCCACCACGCATACGTATTCCTCGCCCCCTCCCAGCCACTCTTCTTCCTCTTTCAGCCACTTTTCTATTTCTGGCTGGGTCCATGTTTACATCACAATGCAAAACTACTGAGCAGTTGTCTCTTTTTGTAATGAAATTGAAAGAGTAACACCTGTGTAGATGTTCATCTACAATGAGAATCAGCTGTGGTTGGTCCAATTGTTTTTATAGCATTTAATTTTAGGATTTACAATATATTTCATTAAAATATTACTGTAGAATTGTAGCAAATTGCTGTCTTATTCAGTTTGTATTATGTTATTGTTTTGAACTTAAGTTTAACAGTTTTGAAAACAGTATGTAAGCATGTGCAAATTGGCCTGTAAGTACACAGAGTTTTGGCGGTTGTTGTGTCGAAGTGAGAAAAGAATTAATGTAATTTGAAAGATGTAGTCATTGAATGCATTTTGTGCCAAAGCAATGATAATTGATCCTCAGTTTGGCCCACATATACTTCTGTTGTGCTCACTGTGTATAGAGTTTTGAAACCATTGCATCTTAGCAATTGAAAAAAACTGTAATATTAGCCTATTATTATTATTAATAATAATAATAATATATATATTAATTAACATTATTATTAATAAAAATAATAATCTTAAATCCTGTAACAGAATTCCTCAGTAAAAGTCAATATTACACGACAACAACATTTCGTTTTTTACAGATGTAGGCTAATATTCATATATTTCTTTAATTTACCAATGAGCATTATTAAACATAGCCTACTAAAAGTTGAAAGCAGACAGTGCATTTTAGTCTGATAGTATCCCGGAAGTGTTGGGGCTTTGTCGTAAGGTTTTCAAGCCAAAATATAAAAGCGGATTACGTCAGCGTCCAGTCGTCCAGTTGCGTGCAGATCGGTCGACCCTCACGGTAAGTAGCACTGAGACTTGGCATAAAGCGAACAATTAGTAATCCACCACACGTAGACCTGGGTCGGGTTTATCCAGTGACAGCAGCATTATTAATAACGTTAGTTGTCCTGCTGACCATTTATGTGACCATGAGCCCCGATACATGCAGACCATGTCTTGTTTGTTGGATATAACACGAGTTCAGCTTTCCTAATGTGTCTCGTCAATTCGGCTCGCACACGAGCGGCTCTCGTGCAAAATATATTTAAACTAGAAAGTGTTACGCGATCACACCAGCCGCGACGGAAAATTAGTGCATGGTGCAATGGATTGATTTTTATTTGAAAAAAATAATCTAGATTGAATTGACAGATGGGGAAAACTCGCTTCTAATAAAATATTAAATAAAAAAACGCTTAGATTTCGGAAAAAATACTATCCTTTTTAACCTTTTGGCTTCCCGTACATTCAGTTGCGCTTCTAGCTCGTATTCACTTCTGTTGGTACGTATCACGTATGGTAACTGGGCAAAACTACGCATGATTTGTTGTAGTATGATTGCATAAAGGAAGGAAACAGGAATTCCGGTAGGGAACAGAATCGACTGACGTGCAGGCAGCGCTGCAGCAGTGCAGCCACTTAAACAGAGTTTGCCCTTCCCCTACTGACTTTCACTTTCGGTGCCCGAATGGAAGTGAATGAGGCTTTGCGATCGCGATTATTTTTTATTTTATTTTTTTTTCTCGGAAGGGCGAGTCGGAAGGGCAACTTGAGTCAGGAAAGGCAAACGGGCAGTTGCCCGGGCAACCAGAGCAACCCCCCTGTGCACGTCCCTGCACACACACACACACACACACACGTGAAAACAATCAGTGCTCCCCATTCACATGTTGAGTATTTGTAACATTTCAATAGTTTTTTTAGTTGAGATTCAACAATTCTGTTTAACAAATAAAACCGTTCTGATATCACACCACTGTTTCATTATAATTTCACATAGGCTAATAGTAGGCCAAACTATAATAATAATAATAAACTAATATTATTTCCAGTTGGACGTTTTTGTGGGTTGTTTTCATTTATTAAATCCTTGTGCAAGAAAATGTGTACATGGTAGATAGTCTCCGATTTGTGAATGCTAAGTACTAATGAGTCAACGATCATAACCATTCATGCAAACAACAAGTTCAACATTTTAAAAGTTTGCTGTAGCTCGTTAACCATTGTTTTTAAATTGCCCGCCCCAACCAGGCTGTGATTGGTACCCCTTCAAGCACTGGTATAGATACAAACCTTTTTCTGCAATGACTTTTTGAAAATGTTTGTTTATTTACTCTAGTGTCTACATCAAGTGTCACATCTTGTCTCCCCACATTTCCTTCTCAGGTGATTGACATGTTGCCAGTGCTGGTGGTCCACGGAGGGGCGGGTCATATCCCAAAGGAGCGGTCAGAGAAGTCCACTTCGGGGGTGTGCTCAGCAGCCCGAGCAGGGTATGTTATACTCCAGGGAGGGGGCAGCAGCATGGACGCTGTGGTAGAGGCTGTGACCCAGCTGGAGAATAACCCCGCCTTTAATGCAGGTATTGTAAAAACACACACACACTACTGTATGTTAGAATAGAATAGAAAAACTTTATTAATCCCCAATTGGGAAACTCAATTGCCACCAGCATACATCACACAACATACAGTATAGACAGAAAGGACAACCAGTATGTACAAACAAGACAAAAGAAAACAACAAAACAATGCACCCATTTAAAGCCTTTAGAAAGAGGCTGACAGTTTTTTTTTAAATGTGACCAGCTGAAAAGCTTAAAGACAAAAATCAGAAATATTCATTAAAGAGGTGGTATTATGCTTTTTGGCTTTTTCCCCTCTCCTTTATTGAGTCTATCTTGAGTTTATCTCTCTCTTGTGCATGTAACAGGTTTGCAAAGTGAAAAAGCCCAAAGTGTGTATACTATCTGCAATGGAAAACAGAGCAGGTCCGAGTAGAGTCGAGTCTATCGATTTGCGCTGTGGTAGCTTTTTTCAGCAAGGCAGCATAGATCGTCAGAACACCGGCAACAGTTCAACGTTTAGTCCTAAAAGAAGATGCAACTCTGACTCTGTTTGTGATTGTGAATTTCCATGCACAACCTGTAAGTATGCTTTATTGTGAATTATATTTAAAATAAACACGGCAATGTAACTTCAGACTTTTCAAGTGCGTTGGCTAACACAGCTAAAGTTATAGCTATAATGCTAACGTTACACCCGATGTGAAAGCTACTGAGCAAACGTTCAAATTGTTTGGCCAATTTTTATGTAAAGTTGAGTTGACATATGGTGATTTTTGTAGTGGTTTATGGTAAGATGTGGAACAATGATGATGTGGACTTGAGAGTAACTTATACCATCTGCTAGGTTACGGTCGCAGTCTGAAGCGGCTTTGATTTGGATCACACTACCTTGTTTCTTACGACCCGCCCTTCTCTGCTTCTGATTGGCTAGTAGTCCTTACCTGGGAACTGCGCATGTGCAACTCCCAACAAAGATTTTGTAGAAGTAAAATGCATCACTCTGTAGCTCAAGAGCGGAGCGTACAACACACAGGGTGAAAAGAGGAGCTGCAGCAATGTGCAGTATGAGAAAAATATGGTGTTTTTTGAAAATGAAACCATGTAAACCTGTTCTGGCACAACCCCTAATTAAGATTTTGAACCTGAAAATGAGCATAATACCACCTCTTTAAAAAATCGAATTGCTGTTGGAATACAATACCTTCTGAGCCGTTCAGTAGAACACCGACGAGGCATCTTAAATCGGCCACTAAAGGAACTACTAAGTGTCTTAAGGACACTGTTGAGTGGGTGGTGACTCAGGGGGAAGGCCGATCACAAAGCCAGCCTTTTTAATCAACTTATTAATCCTATTTTTATCCTCTACAGTAATGCTGCCTCCCCAGCTAAGCACAGAATAAAATATAGTTCCTTGATAGAAGGTATAAAGCAGATTTCTGCTCACATCAAAGGATCTTAATTTCCTTAGGAAAAATAGCCTTGACTGGGCCTTCTTAAAAACAAGCGGTGTAGAGTGTGAATAAAAAAGGGGATAAACTGTGCCCTGTGGTGCTCCTGTTTTAGTTAAAATAGTCTCAGATATTTTGTTATCAAATCTGACAAACTGAGGTAATCTAAAATCCAAGCAATAGTGGTGTTGTGTGATTTTTTTTTTTTTAAATGAATTAATTTTCCCACACATACTGCATTGTTCCTCCATCTGGACTTTCGACGAGGTGCACATTTTGTCATTTGTTTTTCTTACTCTTTTCACATGTTTATTTACAGCATTAAACGTTGAAATGTATATTGTAATAGGCTGTATATTAACTTATTGGGAGAAAATTGGTAGTTGTATGTAAAATCAGACATTGACCAAAATTGGCCAAAATGGCATGATACTCTTTTCGCTGCAAAGCTTCACTTGTGAGATTGACTGTCGAATCAGGCTCCGCCCATCGAAGCATCAAATCTTCGACTATTCTGGGCCCCAAAATCTTCAATACTGAATTACCTGAAATTGTTGAACATTACACACTTAATTTCCTGCATTCTGATGAAATTGTCTGCACCAATGAATGGTGGAAATGTTTTTAATTTATATAAAGGGAAACACAAAATTCAGGTGGCAGGTGACATTTCTATATATAAAAGTATAACAGAATATAACACAGTAAGGCTTTTAGTCATTCTGTCTTGCTTTCTGATATGTTTCTGCTGTTGTTCTGATGTTCCATTTCTTATTCAACATCATCCCTGCTGAGTCGACACACATGCAGGCTTGAGTTAGTCTTTCCTCCGCTCCACTTTAATAGCTCCTCAGCGGGTTTTTTGCTCTGGTTCAAAACTTTCTGCACATTTAGAATCTCTCCCATATATCTGTGTTCTCTGACATGTCCAGTAAAAAGCTGTAATATTACAAGTATAAGGTCATCATTTAATGAGAAATAATGCGAATGAGTTTTTAACTCTACCTGCCCTATACTGTGCTGGACATAACTTTATTGCTCCGCTGTTGTAATCTCCATCAGACAGTTTGGAAACCAAAACTAACCGACATTTCTAACAAGGCATGGATGTGTTTATTTTTGTGCTGTTTGCTTTCTGAGTGAACATGCTATCAACTGTTTTTTTTTTTTTGTAGGCAATACGGGTGACTTTCATTGATATAGCTTATGTTCAGGGCCTACTTTTGATAGGATTGTTGATTGAATGTAAAGATAATCATTTGAAAATTTTAAACTGTTCAGATAGGCTACTTTAATAGTCAGTCCTGCAGAGATTGGACAATGAAACTGAAACACCTGGTTTTAGACCACAATAATTTATTAGTATGGTGTAGGGCCTCCTTTTGCGGCCAGTACAGCGTCAATTCGTCTTGGGAATGACATATACAAGTCCTGCACAGTGGTCAGAGGGATTTTAAGCCATTCTTCTTGCAGGATAGTGGCCAGGTCACGACGTGATGCTGGTGGAGGAAAATGTTTCCTGACTCGCTCCTCCAAAACACCCCAAAGTGGCTCAATAATATTTAGATCTGGTGACTGTGCAGGCCATGGGAGATGTTCAACTTCACTTTCATGTTCATCAAACCAATCTTTCACCAGTCTTGCTGTGTGTATTGGTGCATTGTCATCCTGATACACGGCACCTCCTTCAGGATACAATGTTTGAACCATTGGATGCACATGGTCCTCCAGAATGGTTCGGTAGTCCTTGGCAGTGACGCGCCCATCTAGCACAAGTATGGGGCCAAGGGAATGCCATGATATGGCAGCCCAAACCATCACTGATCCACCCCCATGCTTCACTCTGGGCATGCAACAGTCTGGGTGGTACGCTTCTTTGGGGCTTCTCCACACCGTAACTCTCCCGGATGTGGGGAAAACAGTGAAGGCGGACTCATCAGAGAACAATACATGTTTCACATTGTCCACATCCCAAGATTTGCGCTCCTTGCACCATTGAAACCGACGTTTGGCATTGGCACGAGTGACCAAAGGTTTGGCTATAGCAGCCCGGCCGTGTATATTGACCCTGTGGAGCTCCCGACGGACAGTTTTGGTGGAAACAGGAGAGTTGAGGTGCACATTTAATTCTGCCGTGATTTGGGCAGCCGTGGTTTTATGTTTTTTGGATACAATCCGGGTTAGCACCCGAACATCCCTTTCAGACAGCTTCCTCTTGCGTCCACAGTTAATCCTGTTGGATGTGGTTCGTCCTTCTTGGTGGTATGCTGACATTACCCTGGATACCGTGGCTCTTGATACATCACAAAGACTTGCTGTCTTGGTCACAGATGCGCCAGCAAGACGTGCACCAACAATTTGTCCTCTTTTGAACTCTGGTATGTCACCCATAATGTTGTGTGCATTGCAATATTTTGAGCAAAGCTGTGCTCTTACCCTGCTAATTGGACCTTCACAGTCTGCTCTTATTGGTTCAATGTGATGAACATAGTGGCCAAATTAGGGCTCAACGTTAAACTTTTTTGCAACTGGGCCAGTGAGTTTGAGACTTACTGTCCCTCCCTCCAAATGTTATGTATCAGTGTCAACAAAACCAAAGACTTAAGTTATGTTACTGTCTTTTTTTATTTTAATTATATACTAACAGACTCAAAAATGACATGCACTCTCTTAGCTCTCTCACCTTACGCTGCTTACTGGTTTATTTCCACCTGAATAGGGCTATGAACGCATTATGAAAGTGTTTACTGAGGTAATAATTCAGCTGAAAAATAGGGTCATTATGCCGTTATTTCTAATGGAACCAGGCTTCTTTTTGCAACCAGCGAACTCGTTCCCTGCTGGCCATTAGAGAGAATGCAGGTTTCTCTTTCAGACCCAGAGGTTGCCGCTTGATTGAGATTAGAGAAATAACATTTGACATCCAATTGTCATGTAACTACAACGATTGGACAATGGTGCGCACCATGAGCTGCAAAACAACTGCAGGATGTTGAGCTTGTAATGTGAATTTTTTTTTTCAATACTAATGTTTTTGATCTGGCCCGATCAGGCCAGTAGGTTGCTAGTTCAACAGTCCTGACGTTACTTTACAGGCCACCGTTATTGTTGAGCCCTGGGCCAAATCTATACCTGGTTTGATACCCATTACAGCAACAAATGGGTCTGGTGGTTTGTGTAAACAGGTTGACCTGGGATGGAGTCACACTCTTGAATGAATTATTTGGCCAGTCATGGTTTAGATTTAGCAAAAACACCAAATGTGCCTGTGCGCATTCATACATGTAGTAATACAGTTAAAATGGGATTGCAGGTCGATTTTAAGGCAGGTCCCCCTAAATGTTCTGCCTGTGCCCCTAATATTTTCAGTTATGCTCCTAGTGAAAAAACTCATCACAACTGTCTGGACACAGTGCATGAGTGGGTTCACTCGATTACTGTCACAGCGTACGCCGGTGTTACATCAGCTGGGCCTAGTTGATTCAATCCGCGAGTCAACGTTATCAGTTATACATCTGTTTTTCACTGCGTGAGAAAATTGATTGGAAAATATCAACTGAGTGAGTCTCGCGAGACAGCTGTTAACATGACCCGAAATCTTGTCACGTTTTGATCCAATCGTCGCACTCTTCCGCCTAACCATAGTCATTTAAGGGTTTCATCTAGTCTATATTTTCCCTCTTTAAGTGTTAGACTCAGTAATTTAGGCTTTAATTCCTTTTTGTTATAATAGTCTTGAGCAGTCCCCTCATCATAGTGTTCCTTTGAGTATTTCATTTTGAGAAGATATACCATTGTTTTGAATGCAGTGTTTGCTTTTGCAAGATATTTGTGGTGTTTTGTGTGTGAGCATTTGTATTTAGAGTTTTAAGAAAATGAGCCATGCTTTCAGAAAATGTGTGTGAGCATTGGAGGAAAACTGTAATGGTTCCTAAATATACTAACTAACTAGCGCCACCATCGGGCAAAACTGCGTGAGCTGTCCTCTAGCTCAGCCCACAGGCCAAACACAAAAGATTCTTTGTCCCCAGAGTCAAGATCATTTCTCAAATCAAATTTCAGGGTGTGGGTCAGTGCTGAACATCAAAGGAGAGGTGGAGATGGATGCCATCGTGATGGATGGGAAAACACTGGGTAGTGGTGCCGTGTCTGCCGTACGCAACATAGCCAACCCTATCCAGCTAGCAAGACTGGTTATGGACAAGGTGCGTACATTTAACAATGGGATGGTCAAGGCATACAAATGTATACATACACTGAGTGCTTTCTGAGTACAAATGTTTTGTTATAGTTTATAGATGTGTTTTATAGATGTATAGAACTTTGCTCTCTATTTCAGACGACTCATGCATGTCTGACAGCAGAGGGTGCCAGTCAGTTCGCCCGTGCCATGGGTGTCCCTGAGGTACCCCAAGAGTCCCTGATCACTGAGTACTCTCGCATGCGCTGGAAGAAGAACCTGGCACCTGACGCCAACCCTGTGGAGTGCCATATGTGAGACATTGTTTTAAGATGGTTTGCGTTGTTCCACAAATACTATAATCCATTAGAAAGGAGAGATGCAGAGACATGAGTCCTTGCAGCTTTGTTACTCAATTCTGACTACTGCTAGTTTGTATTGACTCAAAGGGTCAAAAGTCAAAAGTCCATAGAAACTTCTCAAACCAGTCCTGCTGTATAATCCACTTGTTTGCTGTTGATCCATCCGTCTGATGGATGTGAGTCAGCTATGCGAGGAAGAGACATGTGGATGGTAGAATTGTATTACCAAAGAGGACGTCCAAAATCTCTCCAGCATCATTTTAAGGAGACTGCTATTACTTAGGAGGTCCAGGAATCAATCCCTTTACTGTCTCATCAGATCAGATGACCAGTCACTAAACAGATTCTCATAGGATACACCTGGACTTCCTTGTTTGAAAGTCCTCTTGAAGCTCCTCGCTCCTCTTCTCCTCAGAGAGGCGTTTAAGGAGGCATTTAAGTGACTGGAACATCCCTTACAGTTTCTCCACGACATAACTAAATGCACTGCTGCGGTAATTGCCTCCTCATATCGTAGATCTTCCTGAAGTAAAGATTTAAATGAAAAGTGAGGATTTTTTAGAACATACAGAGCACATCAAACAGCAAGTTGGATTATGCAGCAGGAGTAGTTCGAGAAACTTCTATGGATGTTTGGACATTTTTTTTGTTTTTGTTTGTTTGTTTTTTTGCTGTGACTCTGGGTCATCATTGGAATTCATTGTTACAGCTGTGAGTCCCAGCTGAGTAAAGCTGCATCCTCCACAAAAGAGCAAGCTACATACTTCTCAGAGCCTACAAACAGTGATGAGCTGAAAGAAAGACAGAGAGATTTATTTGGTGGTGTTCCTTAACCAAGTTTAGCTAGTTATAATTTGGTGGCCAGGATAGTGTAAAAACTAAATACACCTTTTAGTGATCTTTTTGATCTTAAAGTCATAATTCTGCTGTTCCTGTATGTTGTGTAGGGGAAAGATGGGCACCGTTGGAGCAGTGGCAGTGGATAGTGAAGGCAACATAGCCTGTGCGACCTCCACTGGTGGGATGCTGAACAAGATGGAGGGACGGGTGGGTGACACACCGTGCATAGGTCAGTCATCACACATAAAGTTTATAGAATTATATGCCTTTTTATAAAGTTTTGTTCAGTAGAAAACCAGTTGACTCTAGAAAATGCATTTATAGCAGAAAATGTGTGTGAATGCTGACTGCTGAAATAAATTTCAAAGCACTGCCTAAAATGCAGAAATGTGAAATTAATTCAGACCAGATTTTTTCTTTCTTAAAGGTACAATGTGTAAGATTTGAGACTACTCTACCCCTTTTGAATTTATTCATATATTCATAAAAATAGAGGCAGCCTATAACATATCAGGCCATAACTGCTGTGAGCTAGTTAGCTCAGTTAGCCGTGCAGCTTACTTATCAGAGTGAGCACCAGAACTGGAGCCTGCAGAGCGAGCAACAGAACCAGGCTCAGCAGCCTGCTAGTGCCCGGGACCAAACACAGCCTCTGAGATGGACGGAGGCCGGTTTGACGATACGGAATATAGTATCGAGCTGATTTTGAGCAGCTCCGACCCCGGGGACGGCGAAGACATTGCAGGATTAGGCAGGGACATGGGAGGTGTGAAGCGGGGGACGAGTAGGAGGGAGCTGGGGCATCAGAGAGGCAGTGACAGCATCTAGAGGCAGAATATTTTCACATCTAACTCTATGAATTAAGGGTTTATTTTAACCCTTTTGTTTTGTTTCTGTGGATTTTGAATAAAGTGTGTTTAATAAGTTAAAGGTGGGATATACGATTCCAAGTCAATCCACATCTTTTTGTCAAATTCAGCAAATACAATATTTCCTCACGGTCTGCTAGCTTCCCATTTCAGAATGTGCGCAGAAAGAAATCAGGTGTTTGTACACTGCCCTGGCTCTGTAAATGGGAAACGACACTATTCCAGCCGTGATTTTTTTAACGTTAACGTAAATGACCTGCCAACAGACATTCAGCTTACTTTCATGCTGTTGTTGTGATGTTAGCTATAGTAGCAGGAGAGTTGTAAGAATCGCTGTTTGGAGCTGCTGTGCTAACATTTGCTAACGTTATTTACATTACTTGCTGTGTCGTTGTTCGCTCTATATCATGGTACATGGAACTGAGTACTCTACCTTTAATTCAAAACTTGGTGGTTGTAGGTGTAAAAATATTTTTACTTTCTTGACATTTTGTGAGTTTATTTTGTTTGTTTATTAGACTAAAAAAGCTAAGAGACCTTGTATAACGTAGCAAACTTGCCGCTCGTACACATCTCCCATCTGAAAGTATTAGTACAGCCCAGGCCTTCCCCTATCAGACTATCGCCACTTGAGATACAGTAAATAGTGGTATGATGAGACAGAACCTAACTTCAGAAGATAATTCTGCAACAGAATACATGGACTTGTACTGTCAGAACTGTCACTTCATGGGAAACAAACGGCCTGCATGTAGGCCAGAAGTCTAGAACAAAGAAACTGCGCCAGAATCCCTCAGCGCCATTAAATCGCACCTGAAAGTGACTTTTTAAGGGGGATTCAAACCCTGTATTCCTACTGGCCAAAGTTCCACAGGAGCAAGTTTAGGAGCCCCCTGTGGCAACGCCATGATATCAGCCCATAAAGAGAGAGCGCACCAGTTTCTCCTCGCCGTTCTATTGCAACCACCATTGCCACAGGAGGTAACCCATTTTCAGCACTTTATTTCCCTAGGGGAAGGTCTTAACTCACTAGATGAGTACAGACTGTTTTCTTTTGTTTTTGCTCAACACATTTTTTGATCCTGTGTTATTGCAACCTGAGTGTCATTGTTGTGATTTCTGTGGGAAATAACGTCCCGCCGCGTCCTGTTTATTGCTGTGTGCTTTGGTGTCTAGCAGGTTTAATATTTGGGTCGGTACCACCTGCTGGGCCTTCACTTGTGTTGTTCCTGACACAGTGTACAAAGCCAATAACTGTCCATTAACTCCGCTTCCGAATGAATGCTGTAAGTAATTGTGTTTTACCATGGTTATTAGGATTTAGTGGATCTTTGCTTGTGTTAGTTCCCGCCACTGTGTGCAGAACCAATAACTACATTTTATCAACACCAAAGTTCAGTACCTAGGCCGCTGAATGTGGGTTCGTTTTATGTAAGTAGCTACATTATTTTACGATTATTGCGTGGCAGGCCACCCATGGGGTCTCCTCCTTGCATTCTTGTTGATTATTGTTTGCTTTTATTTTGCTTAGAATAGATGATAGGGATTTATTGGCTGAAGTTGTCGATCATTGATCTGTGCTAAAGTAAATAAATCCTGTTGTGCCTTTTAAAGAGCAGTTGGCTGAGTTGCCGTTATGTGTGTGTTCTGACCATCAGTGCTCACATTCATTACATTAATTAATTTAGCTGACGCTTCAATCCAAAGCGACTTACAATTGCTATATATATGTGTCAGATGTCTCTGGAACAACTAGGGGTTAAGTGTGTCACGGTGAGGAATTGAACCCGGGTCTGCCACAACAAGGGCATGTGTCTTATCCACTTTTCTATCACCTCCCCATTTGTCAGCTTTCACTGCCCACCTCATGAATCTAAAATAGTGTTGAAATATTGGCAGTTATAGGTGGCGAAACCACACTTTGAGACGGTTTTTCACATTTGTCCCTGATCCCAGGGTGGTGCCCAGTATTTATTCATCTTTATTAATACTTTTTGGTAATATTAATAACTTTCTTTATGTTTCTTTGATAATAACCAAACCTGATCCTTCCAGATCATAACACTGGTGATTTGATTTCTGGCCAATTCTTACACATTGTGCCTATTCTTAAAGGATTTTTATTTCACACCGGCTGGGAGTCAAACCGCTGACCCTACAATTCCCAGAAGGCGTGTGGACCTGTCGTATGCACTCTAACCACTGCCACTGAGTGTTCAGAATGTCAGTATTCACATTCACATTATTATTGTAGTCTGACAAAAACAATAGGATGGTGTGTTTTTTTTTTTTAAGATTGACTCATTGTTCTCCGTCTTCACCAGTCTTGTCGACCTTTGACCAGTGAAGTTTGACGTTTGGTTAGATGATAAACAAAACCTGCTTGGTTAATAGTTGACCATGAGGTCTGTGCTCTTGCTGTTCTCTTGCTGTACAACAATGCTGACACATGTTGCATGGTGCAACTTCTGACTTTGATGTAGAAAATAAAATTAATATTTAGTTTTGAATCTTGTCAAAAGAGCTTCCAATTGACAACCAGTTTACTGCCCAACCACAGCTCTGATTGGCTTATACTAATAACCTAATGGGGCATGAGAGAAGATAAGTACTACTGTGACAGTGAATCCTATCAGAGTTGTTTTATACTGAGGTTTAGTGCAGCCGCAAGTGGATTTTGGCCGCTACAGCTGAATCTAATCTTTCAATATCAGTAAATGAGTGATTAGACTGTCGCGAGTCAGTGGCCAAGTTAGTCGCACTCTCTGGAAAAGACGTCTGAATTCAGAAACAAAGGCTATCTCATAAAAGTCAATGAAAAAAGTTGAAACTTCAATTTAAAATGGAATCAATCATCATTTGGATGAAAGACTCAAACTCACAGAACATTGAAACAGAACAATCTAAATCACAGCTATAATGGACATTGGCTGTTAGACCGTAAAAGCTTTTTTCAGTCCCTTTTCCTCAAAAAACATCTTAATAAAATCATTAAGTCCTAATTCGTGTATGATTCAAGTGAATAAAATTGAATATTTATTGAAGATTTGTTAAATTGTTATTGAGAAAAATTATATTGCGATAAATATTGTTTTATTGTCAAGCCCTCCATCGTCCACAGCTATTCCTTTCTGAACCTTTTTAATGAATCATCTTTTGTCTGTTGTGTAAACCTCAGTGTGCTGTAACTGCAGCCCCTCTTCCATAACAACGGTGCAAACTAACATCAGCACGTGAAATTAGAGTAATGTGACAAGAGCAAATCAGATCTGAGATCAGACCGTCAAGTGTCAAAGTTTGCTTAAGTTAGTGAATGTCGCTACAGTGTATTTCAAGTGAAAAGGAACATTGCTCTTCCATCTAGTGAAATGAATGTGTAATTGCATCTTTATACCAACTGCTGCTCTGTAATACTTTGCACAGAAGGGGTTTGTCATAGAACTGTTTCAATATCTTGTTTACTGACTCTTTGAAGGTAAAGAAATGTTGTAAGTTTTTCCCTATTTATCCCTAATTGTTTTTCCTATTTCCTCCATTTACTGCAGGATGTTTCAATTCTATGTTACTGCAAATAAAAA